ACACCCCGTGCGAGGACGTGAACAGATCACTCAAGTTCGACAGAGACAGAAACATATACCGAGAGAGGCATTGCCCGGAGAAGAATGAGCTGTTGAAGTGCAGAATTCCGGCGCCTCACGGGTACAAGACGCCGTTCCGGTGGCCGGCCAGCCGGGACATGGTTTGGTACGCTAACGTGCCACATAAGCATTTGACGGTGGAGAAGGCTAAACAAAACTGGGTCCAGTTTAAGGGCGACCGGTTTAAGTTTCCGGGTGGTGGGACCATGTTCCCACGTGGCGCTGACTCATACATCGCTGATATCGGAAAATTCATAAATCTCAAAGATGGGTCTATAAGGACCGCCATCGATACTGGATGCGGGGTAAGTAAAACAACAAATTACTACATTTATAATAATTCAATTAAATATTTGAAAAGCTTGGTTTTATTTTCTTGAAATAAATAAATTTAATTGATAATCTTCTGTTAATATTATCTAAGATGATGAGAACTATGGACTGTGAAGAACGGGTCAGAGGGTCCAGGACGTTTTGAAGGGGTTGCTTTTTTTTTTTTTTAATGCCTTTTGACTTTTGATTTGTACTCTTCCTTTTTTTTTTCTTGGGTTATTTTCTTAGTCTAAGAAAGGGATATTCCTTTAGGGGCTTGTTTTTTTTTTTTTTTTTGAAAAAGCTAAAGGCCTATCAAAGCACTTTTTTTTTTTTTTTTTTTATATGGGATTTTAGGGTGGCGAAAGAAAGCCTTGAAAAATTTGGTTGGATTCATTGGTTTTGGTCGGTTAGCAATTTGGAAATTGGATTGGTTGTAAGAAAGATTGCAGCAAGATGTTTTTTTTTTTTTTTTCTTTTTTGGTTCTTGGCGTTGTGCAGGGAATGTTGCTAAAATTGGTAGATGGAAGCATACATCGAATGGGACCTAAAATTCAACAATTACTTACGTTAGACTTCAAGAATAAATGTATATGAATAGAATTCCTTGATTGTTTTGTTATTCTTGATTCCAAAGTAAACAAAGGCAAACTTTCTCAATTCGTATAGCCAAAATTCCTTTGTTCCAACTTTGACTCGTCTTTAAACCATGGTTGTTATGTCTTGAGCAATTATTTCCAAGGCTGGAAGAGGATATGTAGGCATTTAATAAAATCCTTGAAATCTGTGAATGAGTTTTTGTGTTGCCTTGCTTGAATTCTGCAACTTGAATCTTTTCTTTACACCATATTGGTTCGAAAAGAAAGTTTACTTTATTTCCTATGTTAATGAGAAGACAGCACCCATCACAGCTTCTTATTCAACCGTAGGAATTAATTGAAATGGGAAAGCTATCCAGTGACGAGTATTAGTTGACCAGCCTTGGAAATGTTTTCTGTGTTTGAAAGTCATCTTTTAGTTGCTAGCTTTGGAAATTATTGGCATCCATCTTGGACTTCAGTTTACAAAAACGTCCGATTGTCTAGTGATTGGCGGAACCGATAGGCTGGTCATTTTGCCTGAGATACCATTCCAAGTTCACCTAAATGTCTTTCTGCCCATAAGCATTTGTTGCACTTCCGAAGTAAACGTTTTCACCTTATAGGGGCTGGCTGCATCTTGATCCGAGGCATAATTGATATTGGCTTGAAATATTAATGGTGTGTTTTTGCCATATTCTTTGAGAAATTATTCAGTGTGAAACAAATTCGCCATTTTATCTATGCTATAAAGAAAAGCATTTTGCGAGAACTGTTTACTGGATGGTGGTCACACGAACATGAATCTTTGGGCTGTTTATCGAGCAGCATCTGTCACTCCATAGGAATGAGCAAGTTCTTGATTGCCAAATTGGACATCGAGTAATTGTGGTAGTCTTATTGATGTCTTGCAGGTTGCCAGTTGGGGGGCCTATCTGCTATCTAGGAATATTTTGAGTGTATCATTTGCACCGAGAGACACCCATGTAGCACAAGTACAATTTGCCCTCGAGCGAGGAGTTCCTGCATTAATTGGTGTCTTAGCCTCCATTAGGCTTCCTTATCCTTCAAGAGCATTTGATATTGCTCATTGTTCGCGGTGTCTCATTCCGTGGGGAAAGTTTGGTAATTAAGTTATCTCACTTTGTTAACATATTATTTGCCTGTTAATAAGTTTTGGAATTACATGGCAACTCATAAAACTGCTTTGAGCAGATGGACTTTATTTGATTGAAGTTGATCGGATTTTACGTCCTGGTGGCTACTGGGTTCTATCAGGACCTCCCATAAACTGGGAGAGTCACTGGAAAGGCTGGAATAGAACAGCACAAGATTTGAAAAAAGAGCAAGATGGAATTGAGAACGTTGCAAGAAGCTTATGCTGGAAAAAGTTGGTACAAAAAAATGACCTCGCCATTTGGCAGAAACCTTCTAATCATATTCACTGCAAAATTTATCGCAAGGCATTCAAGAAACCACCTTTTTGCCAGGCACAAGACCCAGATAAAGCATGGTAATGTTGCCAATGGTAGATATTTACTCTGCAGTTTAAATTTCCTCGTATCATAAGATAAAAAACTTAAGCAAATTGATAGACAGTTTTGGTTTTACTCTGTGTGCACAGCTGAAACATACTCATGATTTTAGTTCCTGTGTCGAAGTTATGCTAACTGTTTTATGGCAATTCGGACTTTATTTTGCTCCATGCTTTCCTTCTCAAACTTCTCAGTCATGGAACATTGAACCATACGGGCTTGAGTAATGCACTAATATGAAAAGACAATAAACGGAGAAAAGAAAAGGGGAATTTCACTGTCATTTAACCCTGCTGCGGCTACAGTGATACCAAAACCTGTTAGATCAAGGCCACTGCTTGTAACATGTTGATGTTGTTTACCTTGATGTCGACATAAACTTTTTGTTCACCAGATTACATAGCTCCAGTATCTTGCCAAGCAAATTTCATTGCCAAAAACTTGAGTTTCTTTGCTTTTAATTCAAAAACATAATTTTCTTAGCACTAAAGGCTAAATAGCTGCTCCCCAAGAGTACTATGAACTATTTACAAATTGAGATTTCATGACTTTTGCCGTCGTTTTCTACATAATGTATCCTTTGATTGCATGTGACTCATATGTTGCAGGTATACCAAAATGGAGGCCTGCTTGACTCCTCTGCCTGAGGTGTCTGAGACAAAAGAAATGGCTGGTGGACTGCTAGCAAAATGGCCAGAGAGACTTACAGCAGTCCCTCCAAGAATTGTCAGTGGAAGTTTAGATGGGATTACAGCTGCAACCTATGACGAAGATACATACTTGTGGAAGAAGAGAGTCGAGCACTACAAAGTCTTGGATTCTCAGTTAGCAGAGCCTGGAAGGTACCGCAACTTGCTTGATATGAATGCTCACTTGGGAGGTTTTGCTGCTGCTCTTGTGAATGATCCGCTATGGGTGATGAATGTTGTTCCGGCTGAGGCAAAATTGAATACACTAGGAGCCATCTATGAGCGTGGATTAATTGGAACCTACCAGAACTGGTATGTTTTTTTTTTGAGATTAACATGCTCTTAGTGATGCGACAGTGGATTTTTCAAGTTTCTGATGCACTAACATAGTAACTTAAGTCAATAATTTTAATTTAGTTACCTCTACTATGTCTAGTCAAAGTGCATGTTAACTAGTCCACTATTTCAATGTAAAAAAGTTCTCATATAATGACCCCTCCGAAATTCACAATTACAAGTCCAGTGTCTATCCTACAGGAAGTTGATTCTGCATATTTTGTGTAATTAACTGTTATCATGAAGTTTCAAGCCTAAATTGATTGTCTGATCTCCTTTCAGATAGTGGAAAATTATTGGGTTTGTGCGCGTCTTTTTACTTATGTTCGAATTTATAATCCTTGTCTCAGACTTTTTCTTTCTACAATTGTGTGGAGACTTGCATTGTATAGCAGTTGGTGTTTACAGTTTTTGACATGTTGCTGTTACTGATAAAGTACTCTTTTCTCAGGTGCGAAGCCATGTCAACTTATCCCAGAACTTATGATTTCATTCATGCTGACTCGCTCTTTAGCCTCTACCAGGATAGGTAATGTTGTTGTGCTTTGTTTCTCAAAAAGTAAACAACTTGTCATGAATATTTTGGGATTTCTAATCATTTTTTTTCTCATACATGTCTAGCAGATGTGATATGGAAGACATCTTATTAGAAATGGATAGAATATTACGCCCACAAGGTAGTGTTATTATCCGAGACGATGTTGATATTTTAGTGGATGTTAAGAGGGTCATAGACAGGCTTCAATGGGATACCAGAATGGTCGACCATGAAGGTGGTCCTCATGTTAGGGAGAAGCTACTAATCGCAGTTAAGCAGTATTGGACAGCACCGGCCTCAAGTGAAGATCAAGAAGGGTCAAGAACAGCTTAGAACTTTTTGCTTCCTTTGCCTATCTAACTTAGAGTTTTCAAGATCATCTTTTTGCTCCTGTTGATAATTCTTTGTAGAAACGATTTTTTGCTTGCCTCTCGAGTACCTTGGCTTTTTTATACATCAGAAGAGACATGCTTTTATCTCTCTTCAAAATGCTAACTTAGAATTTTTTTAACTCTGTGTTTTTTTATCTCTATGTAAAGAATTAAGAGTACAATGTGTAATATGCGCCGGTGCAACATTGGAATATGAAATGCATTATATATCAAAAGAAAGAATAGGTTCATTTTGTGGCAGAGCTAGTCTGAAATTCGACAAAAAATGGCTTCTCCTACAGGGTAATAACTAAAGCTAGGATCTTGTCTCATTGAAAGAATGGCCAACTGTTCTGCTCCTTGTTCTATGTATATTCTGATAATTTCATGGTACGATCCTTATGTCTGTAATTTGAAACTCTAGCTTACATTGCAATTTGACTTTGGCAAATCCACTGCCTTCGATCAATCATGTCTGTCTAATTTATGATCATATTTGGTCGTGGATAATAATACTTAACCATCAAGGGTTGAACTTTACGTGCTACAAATCCACCTTCTTGAATCATGTCCATTTCTTGTTAACTGGTAATTTTTTCCCAATCAAAACACTGCAGTACCAATGCCAATGCAACGGAGGCAATGGCCAGGCTTTCCCCTGGGTATTTTCTCCTGCCTGATCCAAAAGGCAAAAATCTGAGACCATCTTTGGTCCCTTCCATGCCTTCAAATCTCTCAGGCATGAATTTTTCAGGCTCTGTCCATATGCAGGGGTCATGGTGCAGGGCCCATACATTCACCAAAAGCATAGTTCGGCGCAGAACTCGAAATCCGCCCACGGTGCAATCCTCAGACGAATAATGGTGCAGTAAGAGTGGTGTTGGCGGATGAAGTCTGAGAGTTTCTTTGATGATGCATCGGAGGTAAGGCTGCTGGGCCACATCCAAATCATCCATAAGACGGTTGTCACCGACATGACAGTATCTATCTCGGCTTTTGCCTTCTTCATAACTTCTTGATGGCTAAGCAAAAGTGAAAAAAGCCCACTCCATGGTAGTAGATGTAGTCTCACTACTTGCTTGATACAGAACCTGCGCTTGCCCACAAAATCAGAGAACTAATACTAAAAGACAAGGGCTGAAAAGAAAGTAATATAATGCTGCCTAACAATTGTTTTGGGCCAGAATCCCCTTTGGATTGGCAAGACCTTTGACCATTTCATCAGGATAGCTTTCTGGTTCGGTTGGCAGCAGTTCCATTAAGACTTGAATCATCCCTTGAGCAGTTGAGCCTAATGACCAGTCTTTGCAGCTGGATCATCGTCAGTCCCCATGCTTCTACATTTGTCTATTAACGTTTGCACCAACTTATCCCTTGTTTGGTTTAACTTCATCAACGTCTTCGCAACCTTTCCGTATCCAAAGAAGCGCATGAATGGCATGACAACCAAAATAGGGGAGTTCACAGCCGCCTTTGAAATTCAGCTACAACCCCTCGAAACTGCTTTGAGAAGTCTGAATTCTCCTCACTACTCTCACCATAGTGGCGGCGTTTTCCACCAAAAATCATTCATCTCATTACACTCATTCCAAGTTCGTATAATGCTGGTCTTATTTTGACAATCCTTTCCAGTTGTTTCTCATGATCAGAGAACTCCTGGAAGAGCGTGCTCTTACCTCGTCAACGCGGATGTTTGATAGCCTGTGAATTGTGCCGGAGGACAATATCTCTAAGGTTGCAATCTGGCGTAGGTTTCTCCAATGCTGGCCTTAAGATGACCAAACCAAAGTGGTCGAATTGTAGTTCAGGAGCTTCCCAACAAGTAGAGTAGGGCGATTTGCAAAAGTTATATCGTTCTTGGTAAAGCATTCTTCGGCAGCCGATGTAGAGGAGACGAGGACGACTGGGCGAATGCCAAACCGGAGGTAAAGTACTGGACCATACTTTCTTGAGACTTCACACGGGGCTATAATGGAGGGAGACATTCTTCTTCCTCTTGAGCAAGTAGAGATGGCCGGTTAAGGGAATGGTTGGAAAAGGGGTTGGCGGACGATTTTGTAACTTGTGAAGGGATCGGTTGGTCAAGACATGGAGAACTAGAAGAAATACAATGATAGACAAATATGAAATAGTTTCCATGGATGCAAAGGATATTGTCACTTGGAGATGGAGTTTTTCGAGTTTTAATTAGAAACAAGAGCATCTTCAAAAAGTTAAGAATTGAACGTGAGCATCTTCTTCTTGTGGCATTTTGTCTTCTGCTCGGGAAGGTCTAACCTTTACTAACCAACTTGGTAGATTATATTGACAACGATTGAGAATTTAAAATGGTCCGAGGAAATTCATAGAAGCATCTTGCTTTCATGGATACAAAAATTTAGAAGAATATGAATATCTTCTCATGGCATTTTGCCAATAAGTGTCAAGTTCTACTAAATTGGCAGTTGTTCATCGACTTTCACATTTTGTCATGAAGTATGAGCATCTTCTATTTCAGAATTTCAAGAAGAATCGGAGCATCCTCTCTCCAATGGGGTGGAGCTGAGTCAAGCTACTCGACTCGAGCTCGATATGTATTCGATCAGAAGCTCGAACTGCTCGTTAGAACTATCGAGTCGAGCTCGAGCTCAGAAATTTGATACTCGAGAGCTCGACGAGCTCTATCGAGTATCACATAAAAAAAATAAAAAATAAATTATATATAAAATTATTAATATAGGTAAATAAATTCTGAGAAATTACGGGTGAGTACCCTTATCGAGTCGAGCTCGAGCTTTTTAATGACTCGATCGAGCTCGAGCTCGAGCTGTGATTCTCCGACTCGATCGAGCTCGAGCTCGAACTCGAGTATAATTATATTATAGCTGAGTCGAGCTCGAGTATAGCGGTACTCGAGCTCGACTCGGCTCGAATACACCCCTCTCCATGGCATTCTTGTCTTGTTTCCTACATGTCAAGTTTCTGTAAACTGGGAGTTGTTAAAGGTTAAAGCTAGTCAGCTGTAAGAACTAATAAATTTACTCATCAGGATTAGGAGTATTAAGTTTATATATATTCATTAGATTCGCTGTGATTAATAACCAATCTTAAATCCATTTACTACAGGATAAAGTTCTAACTTAGTGTAAACGGTGATTATCAGTTGAGTTGATTACATTTCTTGTACAACGATGAGCAGTTATTCAAATAAGAAAAATCTTCTTGCAGTACAAATCAGTGAACTACACTTAAATAGGTGCTCTTGTCCTAGAACTCGTGATTTCATTCATGTTGACGCAGTCTTTAGCCTCTGGGGCAGGTAAATACTTGTGCTTATAAGGTTCTTGATCAATGAGAGAATAACCAAGAATGTTTTGATTGTGAGGTTTCCTTTTATATTGAAATGTTGCAGATGTGATACAGAGCGCATCCAACAACATATGGATAGAATTAGACGGCCAAAGGTAACTAAAGCGTATCACACCAGTAGACGAAGGCGGTTAGCTCAGTACTAATCAAAACTAGTCTCCGTGTCAAAAAAAAAACTGATGGTGTAATCGTTTCGTTTAATTAGGATCATGTCTTCTTTGAAAAAAGGCAAACTGTTTTGCACATTCTTCAATGAATTCTTCTCAACTTCTTTATGCTTTTAATCAAAGTGAATTAAAAATATACATATTCATACATGCATACATACCCTCTCAAACTGCTTTGCATTTGTTTCAAGAAATCTATTCGGTAACTGCAATTCTACAGGACTTGGCAGTTATCGGTAGCAATCTGTAGAAGTTATAGCAGAAATTCTTGCTTCATACAAGAATACCACAAAGTGCTAATATTCCATTTGATTTGCTAGATTTGATTAGACGTTGCAATTTTCTGGGGCTCTGAGGAGGCTTGATTCGTTGCTGAGACAGAAGGCTGACCATGTTTGGTCTAGGAAAACACTTAACCATCAAGGGTGAAGTGTAAGTGTTTTATCTCTTGAAGTCCACCGTCTTCACTCATGTTTATCTCTTGATCACCACTGATTCTTTCCCAGTCAAAAAATTGCAGTAAAGAACCCAATGTCAATGAAGAGGAGCCAATGGCCGAGTTTTCTCCCATCTTCACCAGCCTGATCTAAGAGGCATTAGCTTGAACCCATTTTGGTTTCTTCTATGCCTTCAAATCTCTCAAGCATGAACATTTTCAGGTTTTATCCATACTTTGGGATCATGGGGTATGGCCCATGCTTTCACCAACCGACAGCATAGTTCCACTGGGAGTGCGAAAACCTTCCACATTGCAATCCTCAGAGGGGAAATGGCCTTTGGTTATTTCATCGGGATAGCCTTCTAGTTTTTCAGACTGCAATTCCAATAATACTTGAATCATCCTTCTCATTCTTCCTTGAGCATGATCCGTTGCGGCTGGATCATCAGTCACTATCCTCCTCCTCCTGTCTTCTACCAATTTTTGCAGCAACTTGCCCCTCTCTTCGTTTAACTCCACAAACTTCTTAACCATCCAAAGCAGCGCATGAATGGCATGAAACCCAGGACACTAGACTTCGTTACGTGCCTCAAAATCTCTTCTACAAGCCCTCGAAACATCTTTGCATCGTCTCCATTCTCCTCGCTCAACCCGTAGTATTTTTTTTAGCACAGATCATCATGTTGAATGCAAGTTCATACAAGGATGATCTTATGTCAACGATCCTCTCTAGATTCCTATCAGAGACTTGGAAGAAGAGCCTTCGGATCAGGATTCTCACCTCATCCACCAGGATTGGAGATAACATCTGGACTGCGTGGGCGGACATTATTCCAATGGTTGCAATTCGACATAGGTTTCTCCAGTGCTGCCATTAAGGTGACCAAATTAATGTGGTGACATTGTAGCTCAGGAGCTTTACAACAAGCAAGGGAGAGCGATTGGCAAAAACATGATCATTCTTGGTAAAACATGCTTCTGCAGCCGAGGGAGAGGAGATGAGTAGGACTGGCCAAGAACCAAACTAGAGGTGCAAGTACTGGGCTGTACTTTCTGGATACATCAGGCAGGACTTTATGGAGAGGGAATTTCTTCTTCTTGAGCAAGCAGAGATTTTGTAACTTGTGAAGCAAACTGTGGGTCAAGAGGTGGAGAATCAGAAGAAATTCAGCCATGGACAAGTATGCAGTGGTTTCCATGGATGCAGAGGACTGTCACTCTATGGAGTATGGTGTGGTGTCAATTTCATAATTAGTAGTTTCACGGTCCACATGTTAAGTTGCTTTGCTCGCATATGAAAACAATCAAGAATTATGTATGTAATTCATGATTGGTTGCAGAACCTGAGCATCTTTCATTTTCAAAAGATTAAGAAGGATATGAACATCTTCACTCTGGCGTCTTGTAAATGTCAAATTTTATGGAATTGGAGTGGTTCAAATAATTTTGATGTTTGGTTCTTGAACATCATTTTATCTTCCATTCCAAAAAGTTAAATGTCAAAATGTCAATTTTGTCTTGTCTTCGTGAATGTCAATTTCTTAAGCTGAGACCAATAGATTAGCATTCGTTTGACGCGGATCAACATGTATTTCTTTGTCGTGGAGTGACGGATGGTAATCAAGTCAGCAGCCAGGCAAGATGCTGCCACGAAGAAACAAAAATCACTATTTCATTGAGAACTTTGAATTCTTTTTTAATGGAAACAAAAATCACTATTTCATTTAAACAATTCCAAATAACCATTTAACTCTATATTGTTGTACCAATTGGCGTCTCGAAAGTGTGGAAACCAGTGTAAAAAAGAGTAATCCTTTATGAATAAATTTTATATAGATTGACAGTGTATAATACATTATGACCATTACACACATGATATATGTGCAAAAGTTGAATTTCATATTCAAATTTTACATAATTATCATTCGTCCAACACTGATAGTTTGTATCTATTCGCATTGATTTTAATTTTGCAAAAAATTGTCATTGGCTGAATTTAAGTGAAACAAACTCGAGAGCTTATAGTGTAAAGTGTTCAAAATTGAAATTTAATATACAAAGCGAAAAGTGGTATAAATTCATAGGAACAAACTGCAAAGTGGAGTTTGTCCTCCAGAAGAAAACTGCCAATGATAGGGCCTGTTTGGCACCCTAGTTTTTTACCAAGTTTTTTAGCTACTAGTTTTTTAACAACTTTTGCTACAGGAATTCCAAAAAACTTTTCAACGTTTTTTACCTAAACACTTCAAAAATCTATACACAAAAAATTTCTCAAAAACTTTTCTTCCTCCCTCACCCAACCCACCACACCAGACACCGCCTCCACCACCTCTCCCGGCGCCGATCACCTATTCCGGCGCCGCCGGTAATTTCAAAATTTTTTTTGAATTTTTGAGTCCCTCACCCTCAAAAATTTATTATATATATTATATATTTATATATTTATTTAAACATATTATAAATATTTTATTTTATTTAAAATATATTTTTACATATTTATATAAATATTATATACCATATAAATTAATATTAATATAAATATGTAATTATACATTTATATAAATATTATATATTATATATTTAATATATATAATACATATTATATATGTTACACATTTATGTATATATATTTATGTATATTTATATACAATTATATTATGTATTATGTATAACATAATACATTTATACATAATATTAACACACAATATTAATTATACATTTATACATAATACTAATACATTTATACATTTATATTAATTATATTAATATATTTATACATAATATTATATATTTATATATTTATAATATATTAATTTATATATTTATATAATATTCATTTATAATAATATACAATTATTACATTTGTAAATATATTTATATTATGTATTATATATAATATAATACATTTATATATTTTTATATAACTACATAAATATATTTATTTATAAATGTATTATAAATGCAAATATATATAAATATTTAAACAATAAAAATTATAAATTATAAAAAATATTAATTATACATTTATACATAATATTAATACATTTATACATTTATATTAATTATATTAATACAGTTATACATAATCATCATATATATTTATAAATTATAATTTATACATTTATATAATATTCATTTATAATATATACATTTATATTAATTATACATTTATACACTTATAAATATATGTATATTATGTATTATATATAATATAATACATTTATATATTTTTATATAAATATATAAATATATTTATTTATAAATATTTATAAATGTATTATAAATGCATGAATGCATATAAACATTTAAACAATAAAAATTATAAATTATAAACAATATTAATTATACATTTATACATAATATTAGTACATTTATACATTTATATTAATTATATTAATACATTTATACATAATCATCATATACATTTATAAATTATAATTTAACATTTATATAATATTCATTTATACATTTATACATTTATATAATATTCATTTATAATTTATACATTTATACATTTATAAATATATGTATATTACATATTATATATAATATAATACATTTATATATTTTTATATAAATATATAAATATATTTATTTATAAATATTTATAAATGTATTATAAATGCATAAATGTTTAAAAATATTAAAATATAAAAATTATAAATTATAAAATACTCAAAAATATGTTTTAAAAATACCTCTAAAAATAATTCAAGAAACGTCTACAGTAACATTTCAAAAACTTCTACAAAATAGTTTTTCACCTTACAAAAACTTTTACAAAATTTTTTCAAAAACTTCTACAGTGCACTACAGTAAAGTTTTAGACAAACTCCCAAAAAACTCAGGTTCCAAACAGGCCCATAGATACATTCAAAAGTTGCTCTCCGCGATCAAAGCTCATACGCCATCATCCCTTTTTCTTTGTACTTTGAATAATTGACCAGATCCAACTGTTCTCTGGTCAATTCCTATTGCAAATAAGCAACGTACAGAATTAAAAAGCAATTAGGTTAATGAAGATTAGTCCTCATGAGCAAAGCGGCAATCTCAAGTAGGTACATCATCAAATGATTAAAAACAAAAAAACCTTAAACAGCAAGCTGTGATTCCCCATTTGCCCTTTCAAAATATCTTAAATCTCATGTCATACGCATAATGGTGGAAAATTATGCCATCAATGATCAAACGTTGGTCACCTGCAACATTAGCTTTAATTAACATCACTACATCGTTCACTAATTAAATAATCGGAAAAACCCCCCCGCCTTACGCGGCTCAATTTCGCATTGTCTCCATCATATCTACGCCAGTTTCGTGTCTGCGTGTTATTAAAGTATTAACGCGGGTTATCATCATTAAACTGTTAATGTACATCAAATAAAGACATAAAACAACATACAGTAATTAGTATCATGAATGCACATTTGTTACATGTTTTGCTGAAATCTGTACACCTAATTAACTACCTTAAGGAACCAACTCCTCCTAGAATTGTTGGGTGGGAAGTCAAGGGTTCAAACCTTACTTCTCATCAATGTACTTCAATATGAGATTTGTTCTAAATCCACACGGGTGTGTGATATATCCATCTGATCTGATGGTGGTTCAGTCCCCGTCAATTTCTCCGGACTCAATTGGGTCTTCCTATAAAGTAGATTTCCTCCTCCGCCCCCGCCCCGGATAGGAGTAGGAATAGGCCATACACGTGCTTTTAATGAAGTATCAATCTGGGACGTCGGGGTTCCCTTAAAACATGATAAGAAACAAAATATGACATTTTCATTCATGATTTTTCATAATGGCATAATTCTCAACTGAGTACGGGGTACGTATAATCAATTTTGATGTTCATTTGATGACGCTAACATCCGCTCGCGATCAATTAGTCAATTACTCCACATAGTCGACCGAGCATTCATCATCACCATTACCAGCAAGACTAATTCTAGAGGTTTTCTATTTATTAAAAGGTTGGTCAAAGCTATTTGCTTCAATTTCTCTTTTTTTTTTTTTTTAAAAAAAAAAAAGAGAAGAAAAAGGGGCACTTTCTTGAACAATTGGCATTGGATCCATCTCACCTACTTTGAAATGGTAGAACATCTTCTTTAACTGAGCTCATCAATTAAATTAAAAAAAAAATATTACAGGTATAATAGTAGTCCTTGTAACTAGTTGAGGCATTCATTCATTTAATGATTTATGATTAAAAAAAAAAAGAAGATTTTTTCTCTGCTGCCGCCTCTTGCCAAGTTTGACTCGTCATATGACATAGCAGATTAATTTTGTAGGAGTCAACAATTATGTTCTGATACATTGTAGTAATACATGTTTAATTGCAGAAAACTATTGAAGTCAATGATAATATATATATATATATGTAAGATATATATATAAAGGTTGCATGAGGGCTTAGTCGTAAAGGTTCCGGAATTATTTTTATATTGGGGTTTCAAAATTGGGCTGTAAAATAACCGGAAAAAATGAATATCGTACTCGATAGATACAAATTTTGGGTTGGTACCGGTAATATTTCAACGAGGCTGGTGACTAATTCCATTTGAACGGAGCGTATTTAATCCTTTCATTTGCTAAATAATTCAACAACCAATGCCAGAACCATTCAATAGACCGACCTTGCGATCTTGACGCTGCTTGTGAAAGCGTAAACGACCAGCCTATTGCCATGAAAACTTTACAAAAATCAAATTGATGTGATAAGTGATGCATTGCTCATCTCGCAAATTTTTTATTTGATGTTCGTTGTTTCTAATCAACGTCAACTTCGGAGTATTTTAGTGCATTGAATTGTGAGAAAGATGCCTATAAACATAATAAATACTTACTTCAATTATAGATATTACTCAAAGAATTGAATTTTCATTTTTTTTATGGTAAACAACTTAATTTGGACTTTTGGAGTAGGCATTACGTGTGGTGTACCATGCACTCCCATGAACTGTTTCGTATTTTAAGAATTTTCTAAACCCCATGAGTTTGATATAAGAAAACACCGAAATTTTAAAAAATCCAAAAAATTTACGAATCTTGTCAAGAATTTTTTCAAAATAAAAAGAAAGTGTCGTATTACTAACGTGTTCAATCCCTAATTAGTAAGTAGAATAACAATTTTCTAGTATGAAAGAAGATAATTGTTGGAGAAGAGAGAAAGAGTTGGATGAATCATGAAAAGGTGTTGGAAAAAATATTTAGAATAGAATTGCAAATGAGTCAAGTCGAGTTGAGTTTTGGTCTAATCAAATCAGCTCGACTCAATTTTACTAAGTTTGAACACGACCAACTTTTAATGTAAAACTCGAGCTCAAATTTGAGTCTTGTCGAACTCGAGTGCGAACCGACTCGAGTTCAAAAAATAAAAAATTAAAAAATTAAAATAGGCATTTTTCTTAATAAATAATAGAAATATTAAGGATATATATGTGTGTAATTTTACTATTAAAATAAAATATATATCCGAGTCTGACTCGCAAATTAACGAGTTGGGTTTTTCTATACTCTACTCAAGCTCGACAATTCAACTTAGTTGAATCGAGCTCGACTTGACCCGAGCGAACTCGTGAGCATTAAAGAACGATTTAATTCATTTCCAACCCAGATTTAGAGAATGTGATTGATGTTTGAACATGGTGGTCCAATGCAATGTTCTAGAAACCCTCTTTCTATCGAGATAGAAAGTGATGAAGTTCTCTATTGTCACACATGACTTTGGGCATTTAGTACCATGGATCTCCTTTCTATAAAAGGAAAAATTGTACATTATCAATCTGCTGTCATTAATGCAGCTTTAAATTCAATGAAATAATCATTTTGTTACTTTACAAAGAAATACACAATGTGTGTTGCATATTAAATTATTTGGAATAATTTTATTAAAAAATATATATTATAACACTTTTTTGATATGATATATGTGAAATAAAACGATGATTGAAAAAATACATTAATGATATAAGCAAATAAAAAATTGCATCTAAACTATAATCCAAACAAATCGAAGCTAAGGAGATGCCACGTTTTCTCAAATGGAAAGCATAGTAATCATTTTGTTAATTCCCTTTCTATTGGATGATTTAAGGGATTATCTACTCGTAGGATGATTGCATTGCTGTAACTCCAACGTAAAAGCTTATCTTATTTTATTCTTAATGCATCTTTAATTACCAAAAAAAAAAAAAAAAGTAGTTGAGAAGGTAAAAAATGTTACCTTAAAGCAAAGGGGGGAAAAGATTGCTAATAATATCAAAACTGTGGGAAAAATACACTCTAAAACCGATCATCGGCCAAAGGAATTAAACTTTTCTAACTACTAAATGCAAACATGTGACGCATTTAGCTGCATAGTTACAATGAAAAAGAAAAGATTGATATTAAATAAAAGCATTAAAAAAAAGGAAGGAGGCCCCTTAATTTTTCGCAAGGGGAAAAAAATGCCCCTGGCACCATTGCACTTTTCATTTTTTTTTAATTCAATTAAAAAAGGGCCTCCGACTGGACCGACACTACATAATAATGTCTTTATCATTTATACAATAAAATAATTCATTTCTTTCATCTCTCAAACTCTTGGCCGGCCTCTTTGTTTTTTTTTTTTTTTGGTTTTTTGGCGGGAATCTACGTGCGTCCCATCAATCCATAAATTATGCAACTTCTTTATTAGTTTATGTAGGTCTTGCCAAGTGCTTGCGTTAGTACAGATCTTGCCAAAAGAAAGTGGCAGATGAATTTGTGCGATGGTTTTTAGGGTCGTGCTCCTTGGACAGTTGGCAGCTCACACGCAGCGGGGAACAGAAGTTTCTTTCTCCTATATAAAATAAAACCCCACCCGGACGTCCAAAAATCAGCATCTTAACTATCTTTTATTTAATTTGAGTACTATAATTAAGAGCCAAAAAGCCCTTCAGTTTCACTACTCAGAAAGCAAGAATCATGACTACTCTTCCAGAACTTGATGGAAAGGTGAAAGAGTTGAAGGAGTTCGATGACACCAAGGTTGGTGTAAGAGGACTCCTGGATTCCGGGGTGGCAAAGATCCCCAGAATTTTCATCCGTCCACCGGAGAGTCATGATCCAGAGGCTAACAAAACAACGGGAGCTGATGGCAGCAACAGTCCCCTCCCGCCGGTTCCCACCATAGACCTTCAGGGCTTTGATATCCCATCAAGAAGGGCCGAAATTGTTGATGAAATTAGTCAGGCACTGGGGGCCTGGGGTTTCTTCCAAATGGTCAATCATGGGATTCCCACGGGTGTGTTGGACAACTTGTTGAGAAGCACCAGGGAATTTCATGAGCAACCCGAGGAAACGAGGATGGAATTCTACAGCCGTGATCCTGCGAGGAAGGTGAAATATTACTCCACTGGGGATCTTTATCTAACGAAAGTTGCTCAGTGGAAAGATACCCTCTCCTGCGATTTCGACGATACCAGTAAAATCGACTTGGAAAGCTTCCCTGAGATTTGCAGGTAATTAATTTTCATGTACTACTCCCTAGCATCAATCTAGTTACTACTTGCATGGCCCGAGGTTTGCTAGCAGCGGACAGCCAGCCTAATTCATGCATTTCATTCTTTTTACTAGCCAATTTTGTCTTCAATTAATTATGGCCTTGAGTTCCGTCCCACTGATCAGGTTGTTAAATTATGTGCTATCGGCCTCCGTCGGATCATTTTATAGTAGGTTGAATAAACTGACAAAATCTTGTTATGTGCCTCAACGCATGTTTTCACAGATCTGATTCTTGCCTTTCTTTAATGGATCACTAATTGAAATCGAATTACAGAAACGAAATTGGTGATTATCTGAATCGGTTGAATGGATTGAAAAACCTGCTGGCTGAGTTATTGTCCGAAGCTCTGGGCCTATCCAGGGGCCACCTTGCCAGTTTGGAGTGCTTCGACATCCAGAGACTCCTATGTCATTATTATCCACCATGTCCCGAGCCTGACTTGACCATAGGCATAATGAAGCACTCCGACCCATACATCCTCACAATCCTCCTGCAAGATGACATCGGTGGTCTCCAAATCCTTCACAAGAACCGATGGCTGGATGTAACTCCTGTTGAAGGATCCCTTTTGGTAAACGCTGGAGATCTGTTGCAGGTGCATACACAACAACCACTACAATGTTGTTATTAACGCCGTACATATATGTTTGATCAATTCCAGCGCTAATTTGACCTTTTTCTTGATTTGATTAATTCTAACAAGTGTATCTCGTATTCCCGTGGTCAATGTTGCAGCTGATTACCAACGATAAGTTCACAAGTGTGGAACACAGGGTGATAGCTAAAAGAGTCGGTCCAAGACGCTCAGTTGCATGTTTCATTTACCCAAGAAACAAGAATCAATCCAAGCCGTACGGGCCAGTGAAGGAGCTTCTATCCGACAGGAACCCGCAGATATACAGGGAAACCAGCTTCAATGAATACATCAGGTATTATGCTTCTAAAGGTCTTGATGGTGTCAAAGCGCTTCCTCACTTCCATTTGACAAGTGCAGACAGCTAGGTACAAATTAATTCTAGAGAGTGATCCGAGACAATAGTGAAGTTTTGAGTTTGTATTGGCAAATGACTATGTACCAGCAACAAAAAGTGGCACAAAAGGATGATGCTAAAAATTGTGCCAAGCATGATCTATGATGTTAAAAATTGAGGCAAGCTCACCATGCAATTGTTGAGGATGTCATGTCTTAATTAAAGTGCTGGTTTCTTTATCCCTTCTTTAGCTTCTATTTGTTGCTGTTAATCTGCAATTCATGCCTTGTAGTATTGTGGAATATGCTTCCCAATTCCCCTTACTCGTACCCTTGTCAAGTGCTTGCATCCTCATGCCTATGAAATATGTTTCACTTTCTCTCCATAGGGATAGAACACAAAATTTTTAATTGAAATTGGAGGACATTAATATTTGACGAGTCAATTCTACTACTAATTGCTAGGAAAGCAACCATCATTTAGTAGGAAAAAAAAAAAGGTACATTTCCCACATGACGCAATGAAAAAGTTTTGTGTCCGACCAAATCTCCCTCCTCCTCACCCGACACCACCTTTCAAGACCAAGGAAAAGATTAAGTACTGATTAATGATGAGGCAGTTAATTGGTATCGTTGGTGGAATGCTGACAGTGCCAACGGGTGTATATATATATATTTTGTCGACACAGGGGTATCCGGGTCAATTCTTACGGGGCCCGACTAATTTCCTGCGGTGTGGGTCCAGCGCCCCAACCCGATCCGAACACGTTAAGTGCGCGGAGGAATCCAACGGAGCGGAGACTCGAACTTGTGATCTCAAGACTCACTGGTGAGAGGCGCTGCCGCTGGACCATTCACGTGGAAGCCAATGCCAACGGGTATATATTGCGCCTGTTGTGTTTCAATTGGTACTTTTGTCAGACAATAAAGGAATAGAACACTTTTTTGTTTGTAATTTTATTTTTGTTTAGTACAAGTGAACAGGCTCGAATCCGGCATCTCTCAGTTACACTCCAATATTAGCTGCTGCCGTGCTAGAAACTCCTTTTTTTTTTTTTGTGCTAAAATAATTCACATTTCTTGGATTAAAAGCATGAACTTTCCTTTCTAAAAGGTTCTCCAACCGAATGTCTCTTTGTACTCAATTAAACAACCAAAAAAAGGATCCCGTAAGTTGAGGAATTATCTGAATTCGTATTTTCTTAGGAGTTAGGACCGAATATCGGAACATGTAACATAAGATCATGACAAAGGAGATGTAATATAAGGCTTTGATCCCAAGATTCAAAGTAACTTCCAAGTCTTCAACCAAATTTGGAATTAGTTGCGATTTGAATGAGTTGTGAGTTGTACGTAACATCATATAATAAGTGAATAAAGTAATGACAGAAACAATTCTGAATTTCTTGTAATCTTCTAGAAAAAGATCACCACGAAAGAGACAGATGACCAAACATGTATAGTTATGGGCTACTACTAAATGCTACACGTAATCTTATTCAAAAAAAAAAAAAAAAAAAGTTCATGACAGAAGAGATAAAATGGCTCCAAGTATAGCCACAGCAATGTTGTTGTTGTTTTTTTTTTTTTTTTGGCGTAAGAAAGACTGGAATTAACTTAAAATAAAGGGTTTGCAACTTCGAGTTTACAAAACCAAGACAGAATCCTCTAGTCATCTTCTAACAATTTCAAAATACAAGAAGGATGAGTACAAGTATAGTTGATGAATTCTTGCTCTTGCCTTGCACCTGATCTTGCCGAAGTATCTGCACACCTATTTTGCTTCCTTGTTGATGTGCTTAACAGAAACTGCCTGAAAACCCTGCATAATGGCCCTCCATTCAGAAATAATGGGGAAGAGTTGATGTATGGTAACTTCGAAATTATTTATCAGATCAATATATAATAACTTCAGCATCAGACTGAATTTGTAAATTTGATATGTTTAAGCACTGGGCTAGGATGGTCCACCAATGATTTTAACAGCAACGCTGAGTTTGATGTTTGATATTGGGGGTCAAAAAGGCTGAACGTCCTTCGTCTTTTGACAATTCAACCATTAAAAAGGTCCTTTTTGAGCAGCTAGCTGGGGAGCAGGTGGTGGATTCTAGTGACATACATGGGAATCTAGCACCGCCTACTCCAACGAGAAGGGACGGGACGCTGTTCCAATCCAATGGTGGCAGATATAGAGTGCGTGCAGGAAAAAGACTGGACAGTGAAGTGATACAATAAGCATAGTTATTAAATTCGATCCAATTCGACGATTGAACTCATCAAACCGGATAGAATCGGGTCGGTTTAGCAATTGGATCAGGATTACGGATGACTTTCTTTGAACTGTTTGATTCAGACGATTGAATCGGTGACTCGTTAAATCCGGTGATTTTTTATGAACTCGGAGGGTTTTAAAATTTTTTTCAAATTATATTTTTACCCAATTTCTTAATTTGATCAGCTACATCACACATGGGTATTGTCATCTTTTTGATAATTAGATGAAAAAAATTGAAAAGGAATTTGGAAATTAGGGTTTCTTTCTTTCTTTGACACTTAGATTTATCATTTATATTTGTGTATAATATCAATATGAATTCACGAACTAAGAAACACATATGAGTATGACTTGTGTGTATGAACTATGAAATATGAATAGGTTATGACTTGTTAATATTTAATAATTTCTATATTTATATTATTATTTTTATGTTTATTTAATTATATTATATATATATATATACATTTTTTTTATTATTATATAGTGTGATCCATTGATTGAACCACTGATCCACCAACCCTAGTCCTCCTGTCGGGTTGATGTTTGAGTTGGTTTTAATAATTATGTGCACAAGTAAGTAGTAGCTTAATTAGGAAGCTGGCAATAAAGTCTTATTTGGTCCAGGCAACCGAAAAGACCAACTGCTGCTACGACAAATGAAGGTAATGACTAGCAAGCACTAGGACCTCTGTAATGGATGTGGAGAACTCCAAAGTTAAAGACGCTACTCAGGTACTTACCAAATGCTCTTTGAGTTCTTAGAACATTTGTCTTGATTGGCTTTATACCCAACCAATTTGAGTTGGGTGTAATAATGGTCACGCTTGATTGATTTGGTTTCTTATAAAGCATAAAACACTCGCTATTATAAATTGCCTTTATTAATATACTATTTTTGAGTTGGATACACTAATGTTTTGTTCGTACCTTAGCACGATCTTTTTTTTTTTTTTTTTAATTTACTGTGAATTTGTGCAAATATGAATAATTTAAATTTAAAAAATTAACAACGATTCCAGATGTTCATTCATATTAATTTTAAAATTTTGATATATTCTAAATGTTTAATTATCATACTAATTTTAAAAACTTTTTTACATACTTTTACTATTATATAATAGTATTCATCAAATATTGTAATGCATATTAGAGAATCGATAGATATTCTTTTCTTTTTGTGGCTATTCTTTTGTAAAATAAATATTTTTTTAATGGCCATAATCCTAGCCAAAACAACATATTTGTAGTTAATTAAGTACAAAAGATCTAGTAATTTATATTCTTCATCAACAAATATTCAACTTCTAGGAATATTGGTGAATCTATAGGTGTAATAGTTAAATTTTTTGTTACACAGTAAATTAATCCGTATGGATAAAAAAAATAAAAGAAATGTATTGAAAAAAGATGATATGATTAGAATAGAAAGGAACCCTAAGAACAAACAATTCAAATGTATTTAAATAAATAAAGTTGTTAGAAGAGAGAAAGACTATATATATATATATATATATATATATATATATATATATATATATATATATATAAAGATTAATAGAATAGCTGGATATAAATATAGGTAAAATCCATGTATATATCCAAATAAATTTGTTAATTCTCTTCAATTAGACATGCCATCTAAGAGAAAGAATATGGATAATTAAAATAACAACATTCGTACGTTTTTATCATGTCAAATTTGAGCAAAACTCGAATGTTTCGATATATTTACACCTAGATAGAATGTCTTATGCTTATAAAGCTAAATATAACAGATAAATAGATAATGAATCTTGCTCGAGCTTAATTTCATTAGTATTTTTTTAAGCTTAATTTCATTATTTGGTTAACTCTCTTTTGCTTTTCTTTCTTTCTTTTTTTAAATTTGTCTGTTCAAGAGATACCTGGGTTTTGAAAAGATTAAAAGATAGTCTGTTTCGGCCTATATGACAGAAGTAATGTTTGGGCTCAGAAGTGGAAACTAATTGTGTGAAGCAAGGCGTTGGGCTTAAAAATAAAATATATAAATTCGGCCCAGGTTTGTAGCCCGTTGAAGGCCCAATTCAATGCAACGACACCGTTACACTACCGCAATAGTGTAGTAGTATCTTAAACCCCTCTGGTCTGCGTCGCTCTCAAAGTCGGAAATTATCGAACGCTCAGAGGCCACAACTGTGCAGGCAAAAAAGGAACAGTGATTTAAACGGAACCCTAGCTTTCGACGACGTCGTTCCACAAAGGATGGAAGCCGAAGACGACATCGGGAGACATATGATGGACGAGAACGAGATCTATGCTAACGGCGGCGACGGCGCCGGTGCCGAAACGCAGCGTCAGAGACCAATAATCAGCGGAGAGCAGCTCGACGTCGAGGCGTATGCGGCGTTGTACAGCGGGAGAACGAAAATTATGCGGCTTCTTTTCATCGCCGAGCGATGCGACAATGTTTCTATGCAATTGGAAGCTTTGAGAATGGCGTACGATGAGATCAAAAAGGGAGAGAATACTCATATTTTCAGGGATGTTGTTCAGAAAATTGATGGGCGTTTGGGCCCTAATTACGGCCCGGACCCAGCATGGGCTGATGCGGTTGATCGTCGTGCTGAGCAGAGGAGGGAGAAGCTCGAGAACGAACTTAATGCTTATAGGGTATATGCTAACTATTTTTAGTATTGTTGGATTTGCCTATTTGTTTGGGGTTTAATGGTGTGCATTGTCTATTTAGTTATTTCTTTTGCTTTGTAAAATCCATACTTGTTAGTATCGGTGCAAGCTTGCTTATATACATATGAGGGCTTGCTCTCCATAGTTTCTGCTTATTGAAATTAGATAAAGCTAAAGAGCAGAAGCTGACACCAGCTGAGAATACCTCATATAGGGTTGAGTTTGAAATAAAAGCTATAGCCCGCTAATTTTATGCTTTGGAGGAAAAGCACTAAAAGTACTGTTTAGCTAAGTAGGTTGTTCTGTTAGGTCCAGAGTGGCATTCTTGCGTGTCTAACGGGGCTTTTATTCAATCTCTAATGAGTAATAAGTGCTTGGAATTTACTTCTGATAATAGTATAAGTTATAATGGGTGTCACTTTGTTTTCTCTTTCATCTCCTTATAGCACAGTTGTAATGAGATTGGAGATTTGAATACGGGTAACGTTTGAGCATATTATTAGGTAATTTGGCTGTGGCTTTTGATTGGGATGCTATGCTGATGTGGACCTTTCTTGATGTGTGAATTGAATGATAAATATCAGCCTGATCATTTGTTGAATCTTGACCATCCTATAATTAGTTTTATGAGGGAGATGGTTTACTGCATTTTAGCTATAGCCTCCTTAATAGGAGCGTTCTTGATTACATTTGTTACTCAAGTTAGACATTTGCATTGTAAGTACCAACATCAAGAGGATGATTAGTCTGTGTTGCATGTGCATGATCCCATTGTAGTTGAAGAACTTGGCAGCTCTCAGCTAAATGTGCTTACTGTTATAGTGCTAGGGGCTGACTTTATGGGATATTTCTTGACTTAGTGGTAGAAGAGTACACCTTGAACTGCTAGGGGAAGAGCAGATGAAGATGAAGAACTGAGGGAAGTAGAAATGTTTTCAGCGTACTGATTGAGATGTATCAGTCTACTCGAGAAATAGGCTGATTAAATGGTATTTGTAGCTAAAAGCTGCGAGATGCATCCCATTATTGGGGGGACTGGATTAACCAATTATAAGACTGTTCTACCACCATTGGGTCTCTATTTTCTGGTCTTACTGAATTAACAAAATTAACTCGTCAATGAGATCAAATGAAAACTGCCTAGATTAAATTGAATGAATTGCTTTGAAAGTTCACTGGCTGCAGATTAGCGTCAATATACTGTAATAAATGCAATATTAATCACCTTGGCGACTGCCAACTAAACCAATACAGCTTCTTATTTGCAGTGAGTGTCATATTTTTTGTTTAGACATTATAACCTTAGTTTTACCCGAGTAGCACATAGCCATTGCAATACATGGATTTTCTTTATTTTTTGTGCGATTTTGGAGCATCTGCAATCTGTGGGGTTGTTGATATGTGGAGCTAACTAGGATTTGGGATTACTAATGTAATCTGACCAAAAAATGGTGTCTTTTTTCCCCCTTGACTTTCCTGAGACGCCCTCTATCCATTTTTTTGAGGGGTGGGTAATACATAGTACAGTATTGTCTTATCTTTCTGAGAAGTCTGTGTCTTTATGACCCATATCATGGGTTTTGCAAAAGTTCACCCTAATATTAATTTTATGTTGCTTACCTTCTCATCTTTATTTGCAGACAAATTTGATAAAAGAGAGCATTAGAATGGGATACAATGATTTTGGTGACTTTTACTATGCACATGGTGCACTTGCAGAAGCATTTAAGAATTATGTGCGTACTCGTGATTACTGTACGACTTCAAAGCATATTGTTCATATGTGTTTGAATGCAATTTTGGTTAGCATTGAGATGGGCCAATTCACACATGTTACAAGTTACGTCAGCAAAGCAGAGCAGACTCCAGATGCTGTGGATGCTGTCACAAGTGCAAAACTGCATTGTGCCGCTGGGTTAGCACACTTGGAGGGTAAAAAGTACAAGCTTGCTGCTCGCAAGGTTTGTGATTTATGTTACCTTTTTGACTAAAACAATTTTATCTTTAAGTACTTTTTCGCGAGTGGGATTTACATGTGATTGGGATGGTTAATTTGTTACTTATGATCACTTTACGGTGGCTATCATCCTTGCAGTTCTTGGAAACTGGTCCAGAATTGGGTAATAACTATACAGAAGTAATAGCGGCTCAGGATGTTGCAACATATGGTGGATTATGTGCTCTTGCAAGTTTTGACCGAACAGAACTAAAGGTTACTTATACCCCTCTTTTGCACATCTGTTTTCTGGTGAAGATTTTCTTGAAATTGTGAATTACTTCCTAACTATATTGTTATATTTGCAGAGCAAAGTTATAGACAACAGTAACTTTAGGAATTTCTTAGAGCTGGTACCAGAGATAAGAGAACTTATTCAGGATTTCTATACAAGGTGATCTACTGATGTTCTTACGTGTCAGGCAGCTTTTTAGCATTGCTTCAGTTACGAGTAGGATGTGGTTTCCCTTTTTTCTCTGGTTCACATAAGAGGGCAATAAAAATACATAGCTGTTTTATACTTTGGTAAGTAGGCAGACATTGGCAGCACATATTGGTACATGAAACTTGGTTGATGAAAGTAGTTTTGCAAGGTAAATGCTATTCAATTTTTTACGTTCACCTTTGCCATTTGGGGCCATTTTTTTGGCATCAGTGTCTTGAAACTTTTATTTTACTTTTACTTTTCCTTGTATGTTCTCTGAGTGGTATGAAAACTCCAGCTAGATGCATACTGATGCAAACATAAATAATTTATTGGAGCCTGGAATCTGTTGTTCAGATGATAGATTGTAATAAAATCGAGCTTGATTCAGTCTCCTTGTTCACAGTTCGAGTCAATAACAACTACTTTCTGCTCTTTTTATTGTCTAGCCATTGATCTCTCTAGGTGTTCTCTGATCTTTTAGTAATGTACTCTTGTACATATTTCTTCTATACATATAGGAGGAATATAAACTTTGTTTATTGGTATATTGTTGTTTCCTCCAAATGTCTGTCATTATTTATTAGCGCCTTATGCACGTTGCATGTTGGAGGTAATTTTGTTCGGATTTAATAAACATCTATAATTCAGTAGTAGTAAAAGTGAAAATTGTAGATGATTACTCCAAAACATCACTCTCTTGTCTCCTAACTGCTTGCACTTTTATATTGCCTAATGTTAGGGGAGCTTTTATTCCTCTAACTTAGAAACTCATAATCTGCTGATCACACCTCAGGTGTCCCAGCAGCCACTTCATGTTTGGTTTTAAGACATAGTTCACTGAGTGGTATGAGGGTAATTGTGTTCAACTGATGTAAACGATGCCTAGTTGTAAGATCTAAATTTGATGTTGGTGCTTTGATGGTTTGGTATAATCTTCCAAAGAAAATGCCATGACTTTTTCTTCTTGGGATGTATAATATGATTGTTTTGAATGGTCACATCTCCTATGCAGTAGAAGCAGAAAAACTGTTTCCCTTTTACTGTTAATAGATAAGAGGATAGACTTTTTTGTTTTTTAATTTTTGCTTGTAGCGTTATCCACAGGTATTTGATCAGCTAATTTGGATTCTTTTCTGTTTGTCATGCAGCCACTATGCTTCATGTCTGGAGTACTTGGGAAATCTGAAAGCTAACCTGTTGCTTGACATTCATTTGCATGACCATGTGGAGACATTGTATGATCAAATCCGTAACAAAGCTCTCATACAGTACACTCATCCATTCGTCTCTGTTGATCTGCGTATGATGGCCAATGCTTTTAAGACTAGTATTGCTGGACTTGAGAAGGAGCTTGAAGCCTTGATTACTGAAAATCAAATACAGGTAAATTATTTTCAAATAATTATTTGATTGCATCATAAGCATGTTTTACAACCACCTTTTTACCTCACGTACATCACATCATAAAAAGTACTATAGTATGTTTTCCAAAAAATTATTCCAAATAATCTCTTATTTAAACACACTAAATTACTTTGCAATGCTCTGGCACTCCTTTTTTGTTTTGCTGTATCTGATTGTCAGACCTAGGTCAAGAGAGGGGCTAAATTCTGGGATTTTGGAATTAAAATGACTTGTTCCTGCAGGCTCGAATTGACTCCCACAATAAAGTTCTCTATGCACGGCATGCGGATCAGAGAAATGCCACGTTCCAGAGGGTGCTGCAGACGGGTGGTGAATTTGACCGGGATGTGAGGGCTATGTTATTGAGAGTAAGCCTCATGAAGCACGATTACGCTCTCAAGGCATCAAGGAAACAGCACTGAATCACTTGTAAAATTGGAGCATGCGGATGACCAAACTGGTGAAGTTAAGCAAAGTTATTCCCCAGGAGCGGGAAGGGGAGGAAAAGAAAGGATCAAGCATGTTGGACCAGTGAATCAGTTTTGATTGTTCAATGATGTTGGCATTGGTAGGGTGCAAAGGGTCCTTCAGTTACATTCAAACATTTAAAATCTCACTTGGTGTTAATATTAATTAGATCATTAATTACACAAGTTGCCAGCCTTTGGTACATATTTGTCTCTGGCGGTCTTTGTTCCGTGCTAACTATCATTTACTATTTGGCTAGATGCTTAGTAACTCTGATTTGCGTTTGTGAATATCGGGTTTGATTTTTCCCTTGCGAATGTGTGTGCCGGTCGTGTTTGTTTGTATTGTTTTTAAGGGCTACACTGCAAATGTTGTTTGGCAAGTTTGATTTATCTGATTTTGTGGTTGGCTGGTGGAGCCTGTCAAGCCTTTGTTAGTTCCAAATTTTTCCCAAAATTTGAGCATATGAGGGATTTTGAATCAGGCTAAGGCCAGTGATGTAAAATTTCAACCTACCCTTCTGGGAATCGAAATTGAATTTTCCATTTTTGGCAGGCATCAATAATGATTAAAGTAACTATGGCTTGGAATGCATGTCAACTGATTTCATCCGCTTCGTGAAATGCTTTGACAAATTTTGACCAAAAAAAAAGAAAAAGAAAAAGAGATGCTTGGCAAAATGAACATGGAAACATCTTAGCAGTAAGAATGTTCCAACTGAGCCGAGCCGAGCCGTGCAGCTCAAGTAGAAGCTGTACTAACCATCTGCAAAGAAACGATAATTTTAATTTTTTATCACCGGTTAAAATTTGTGTTCATAAATTCAATTCTAGCCATCTAATTTAAAATATTTCCATCTCCACTATGAACTGCAGAGGACCCGGATCCTACCCAATAACCACCGGATCCAATAACCACCGTTAAAGCCCGGAGGATAGGTCAAAGCTAGTTGCAAATCTTCTCAATCCGTAGTCATCATCGCCTCTTTTACGGTGGTTACAAAACGAATCGAGTTGAATCAAACTTTTATTTAATCAAATCAATTTTTTATTTAATTTTAGGGAGAATTATACCAATCGTCCCTTACATTTTACAGATGTAAAAATTTAATTTCGCAAAATAAAAATGATCAGTTTTAGTGCCTAACAAATAAAAAATGATCAACTTTAATTCTTTTTCACTTTTCTGAACAAATTTTGGCCGGAACTCATTGAATCCACATGTGATACCCAAATTTTAAAGGGTAAAAATGGCAAATCACCGTTGATCAATTATGCGAATGACCAACTTTGCAAAACTTTAGTTAAACATTCATTAAAAAAAAAAACATAAAAACTAACCCACCATTATTTGCAATTCATCTCAACCCAAAATCTTAATGCCAAGCAATTCAAACAGTATAGCATTGGCCTTAATAAATCTCACCATTGTGCTCAAGTAAATAAGTGATTTACTAAAATCAATCTCGGATAAAAAAGCATGTACTGATAATAGCACTAGTATAAAGTCCTTGCCGTTCAAATTTATCCACCGCTTTCATTTCTTAATGGCCGCCTAAGCTTCTTCCCCAGAAGCCATTATCACAAATGCAAAGCCCCTGTTTTACCGTTGCTAATATCAAGAACCTCTCTGCTGAATGCGGCACTGTTACTGATGTTGAGGTACTTCCAGGAGTCTGATATTTCTATTAAAGAATTTACTCTGGATAATTTTGTTGAAGTTGAAGAATTGATTTTAGTTGGTGGTTCTTTTTTCTTTTGGGTCTGAATTTGTTATTGAAGTGACATTAAATCGTGGGTTTTGTTTATCCTACATAATTTGTTAATGAAGTGAGTTTTAAATGGTGGGTCTTGTTTATCTCGATGAATTTGTTAAAGGAGTCATTTTGAATCATGTTTTCTATTTTTTTTTTTCTTGGATGAATTTGTTGAAGAAGTGATTTTGAGGGTTGGTTTTTGTTTTTCTTGGATGTGGCAAATTACAAAGCAGAAAGATGATAAAAACAGGGGCTTTGCATTTGTGATAATGGCTTCTGGGGAAGAAGCTCAGGCGGCCATTAAGAAATGAAAGCGGTGGATAAATTTGAACGGCAAGGACTTTATACTAGTGCTATTATCAGTACATGCTTTTTCATCCGAGATTGATTTTAGTAAATCACTTATTTACTTGAGCACAATGGTGAGATTTATTAAGGCCAATGCTATACCGTTTGAATTGCTTGGCATTAAGATTTTGGGTTGAGATGAATTGCAAATAATGGTGGGTTAGTTTTTATGTTTTTTTTTTTTTTATGAATGTTTAACTAAAGTTTTGCAAAGTAGGTCCTTCGCATAATTGGTCAACGGTGATTTGCTATTTTTACCCTTTAAAAATTGGGCATTGCATGTGGACTCAATTAGTTCCAGCCAAATTTTGTTCGAAAAAGTGAAAAAGGATTAAAGGGATCATTTTTTGTTTGTTAGGCACTAAAACTGATTATTTTTATTATGAGATACTAAAATTTCACATCTGTGATATGTGAGGGACGTTTGGTGCAGTTCTCCCTTAATTTTATCAAACTCGAACTTCACGAATTCTTAATATAAAATTTAAATTCTAGTTTGAGTTCAATCTCAAATTCGACCCGAGTCAAGCTTAATATAATAAAAATAATTATTTTATTTTTTTTTTAAAATGAACAAAATAATAAATTTTTTAATAAATAATAAAATATTATGAATATATATATAATTTTTTTTAATAATAAAATTACATATAATTTATTATAAGGGTTAATTACATTTACCTCCCCTGAGATTTGATCAAATAACGAATCGATCCCTGAGATTTGATCAAATAACGAAAAAGTCCCTCAACCGTTAGTCTTTGCCGATGACTGTTAGGGTTAATTACATTTACCCCCCTGAGATTTGACCAAATAATGAATCGATCCCTAAAATTTGACCAAATAACAGATTCCTCCTCCACACTAATTTCTGTCACTTATATGTAATGGAAATAGCCAAAAGTCTGAATAACCCTTATTGATTTCCATCAAATTTTTGACCTATCGATTTTTGTGTTTTCAGAAAAAAATTTTGGTTAACAGATAAAATTTTGAATCCAATAAATTATTAATTTATTTAACAGATAAAATCAGAGTAAATTTTGATAGACCTTGTAATGCAAAATTTGCCATACACGTATTTTGTAATTTGGTGAAATAGTGTGACAAATTTTGGATTACATGGGGTAATACCCATTATCCCATAAAATACCAGTGCTTTACAACTTTTTCCAATTATATGAACAAAGTACCTATTTTTTTAAAAAATAATTTATTTAAAAGATAAAGTAAATTTAAAATTTCTAGCGAATAAGAGGGTTGAAAATGTAGTACGCATTTTTTCTTTCCATAATGTACCAGCTCCTTATACTTTTCCTATATTATATAAATGAAGTACCAGATTTCTATTGACATTTTACTCTATTTATTAGTAACCCATTGTAAAAACAAACTAGCAGAAGGCTTTTCTACACAAAATACTTTGTCATGGCCGATTAAGCAATCAAAGGATATTTGAGAATCTGGTAATGGTCTCATTTTTGAAAATCATGTCCGTCTCATTTTTGTGGTGGATTGAGTGAACCTTTACATTGCTTCTATAAATTTTCTTTCATCGCTCAATTGTCGGTTTCCTTTTTTCACTCTACTTTTTTTTTTCCATTCCTTTCTTTGCTTTTCATATTTTAATTTCTTTTTTGTTTTCTAAGCTTTTCTTCTTTCTTCATTTTCTTTCTTTTGTTCCTTTATGCGCATATTTTATCAAGTTTGATTATTACATGCTTGGTTTTTTTCTTTTATACTGGTTAAAAACTATTTTATTTAAGTAATAAACTCTTAGTTTAATTCGTTATTATTGAAACCACCTTCGATTTTTTAACGGTAAGTTTTCTCTAACTACAAGTTTTACAAAGAGGGTAAATATGATATTTTATTACTTCTATTTAAGTGTCTTTGACGAGATTACTTAAAAAGGAGGTACATGTAATATTACCACACCACAGGGATTTAAAAGTAGTTTGGTCAAACCACAAGGGAGATAGATGTAATTAATCCTTAAAATTTTGATGGAAATCAATAAGGGTTATTTAGATTTTTGGCTATTTCCGTTACATATAAGTGACAGAAGTTAGTGTGGGGGAGGAATCTGTTATTTGGTCAAATTTTAGGGATCAATTCGTTATTTAGTCAAATCTCAAGGGGGTAAATGTAATTAACCCTAGCACGGCAAAAATTAACGGTTGAGGGACCTTTTTATTATTTGATTAAATCTCAGAGATTGATTCGTTATTTGATCAAACTTCAGGAAAGATAAATAAAATTAACCCTTATTATAAATATATATATATTTTAATAATAAAATTACATATATAATCAAGTTAACTCATAAATTAACTAACTGAATATCTTTAAATTTGAATTTGATTTTGAATTCAAACTTGATATCAGTTCGAGCATGAATTGCGAACTGTTAGATTCATACGCAGCCCTAACTCATCAAATTCCGCGCCACATGTCCCGAAGCCCCGTACCATAGTCATACTTTCAATCCCTTAAAAACAGAGAGAGAGAGAGGACCAAAAAAAAAAACCCCGGTTGTGAACTGAGGCGTTCGAGAGAATAAGCTGATCTAATTCAGTCGACAAATCTTACTTTTCATTTTTTTTTTAATTGATTGCTATAAAAATTATATCTTAACACTTGTCTGATTCTTCTTCGTACATTAGTACTAAATCTTCTACATTTAATGTTTCTGTTAGCTTCATATGTTACTCCATTTATTTATTTATTACTATTAGTATAAACCAACTTAAGGCTAAAAACTTCATGACTATATCACTTAATTCGGAGAGCGAATTACAAGCAGCTGCACCGACGAGGAGGTTTTGTTGGAGTTGGAGACGGAAGACCCATTTACTATATCTCCGGTTCCCAACTGGGCATTGCTTTTCACTTTTCTTTTCTTCACCGCAAATTCCCACGGCAAGGCAACAGCGGAGTGTGGATCCGTTGTTTGTTTTTGTGTGCGTGTCTCGAGAATTTTACTGCCACCTTTACTACACTTACTACTAATCATCGAATCTCCAAAACTCAGATCCTCACCATTCACACACTCACGCATTAACACACTCCACTCCCTCGTACTCTTTGACGTTGGGTTGGAGTAGAGGTGTCTATCCCATCCGCATGTATGCAGAGATGATATGATGTTTCTTTGATCGGATCCTGAGTTAAATTCCAGATGGGTCACTTGAATTTACCCTCATCTAAGCAGCGGAACAACGCTCGCCAATGGCGCCTACTCGACCTAGTCACTGCTATTCTGTTTGGGGCAGTTTTTATTTTCTTTGTCTTGGTCTTTACCCCACTGGGGGACTCTCTG